GAAAAACCAGAATCAAGTGGTGCTCACCCTCTGGAGGCCTTCAGACAGAAAAATCTGCCCTTGTCCTATTCCTTCTTGTATCCCATCATCCTCTCCTAAAGACTATATAGGAAGGAAAGCACCTGGCACAAAAATGAATGTATATTTCACATTAATACGAGGCATTGATATAATAGAAAAAAAATGGATTTTTGAGTCAGAAAACCCAGCATTTTCCCCCTTAGTTTTGGGGGTTACACGGTGGAGGCAGGTTCTGTTTCCCTGATCATAGCATGCTGATGACTTGAGACCAAAACAGCAGGAGTGTTGTATGTTGAGGAGACCCTCAGAGTAAAGGAAAGAGCTTCAACAAGTTCTAGCTAGTACTTCATTACTGGATGGTACAAAGGAAAAGGCCATTTGAGGTTAAAGCAGAAAGAAAAGGAGGGAAGCCTATGTCTTTCATTTCCTTTTTCAATACCTGGACATAGGATTTGGGGAAGATGTTAGAATTTGGAAGATTAAGTGAAAGTTCAAATAGCTCCCTCTCCTTGCCCTATTGCCTAGGGACTTATGATCCTTCTAGCAATTAAGGAGACAAGAGTTAGGGGAAAGGGATAGTAAAGTGGAGGAAGTTGTCACTGCCAGTAATCATGTTCCTTTCCTAATCATCTCTCTCCACCATGGAGATTTTAGAACTGCCTCTTTCCAGTTAAGCTGAGTCTTCCAACAGCTTCGAACAAGTAGCCCACCTGTGCCATTTGCTACCTCCATTTCACCTCTCTTGTTACTTTACTTCTTCCACCTGAGTTTGATTTTGTGGTGAAAGAGAACATTATGAGAAGTTGGGTTCACCTTGGAGGCCAAGGGTAATGACAGCCCTAGGTATATAGTTTGGCTCTTCCATGCCAGACTACATATTAGGCCACATGGAGTATATGAGAGCTATGGGCATGGGGCAGGGAGCCTTAAAAGGAGTGAGTGACCTAACAGCTGGACAAGGCAGCAAAAGTAAGCATGGTCCAGCTGGCTTTGTATTCTCAACCTGAATTACTTCTCCTTTTTGGCCTCTGTTTATTTGTCTATGTCAAAAAGAGAATAGTGCACAAATTACAAACGTGGGACTATGAGGAACAACTCTATGTCCACAAATTTGACAATATAGATCAGATGGACAAATTCACTGAAAGAGCAGGAAAGGGAATAGCAATACCTATCTATTTCATTTTGCAGTGGGTCCTTTGTAAAAAATTAAATTAAATTAGTGAACAAACTAAGAAACAAATATCCTGGAAAGATAAGGCCACACTACTTGAGACACCCAGGACTAAGTAGTTAGAGTGCCAATCCACCCACCAAAAGGGTCATGGGTTCAATTCCCACCAAGGGCATGCACCTGGGTTGCAGGTTCGATCCCCAGCCCCGGTCAGGTCACATGTGGGAAGCAATCAATTGATGTGTGCCTCTCACATCGATGTTTCTCTCTCTCTCTCTCTCTTCTTCCTCCCACTCTCTCTAAAAATTAATGGAAAATATATTCTTGGATGAGGATTATAAAAAAACAAAAACCCCACAGTGACGAAACAGTCTGTTGTAGTTCTAGAGTCAGGAAGTCTATGAAAGGCTCTTTAGAGTACCTCAAAACCTGAGTACTGGCTATGACAGCCTAGAAATCCTCATCTTTGTCAGAATGGCAGTGAGCAGGACTTGTTTGTATTTTCTTTTTATTATGAAAAGTGTCAATCACAGAAATTCAAGAGTATTATAATGAACCCCCAGATCACATCACCTAGATTTAATTATAAACATCTTACAAAAATTGCTTCATATTTTCCTTTGTTGAAATATTTTTAAAGATCGCAGACATCATCTTTCAACCCTAAATATTCTGATACTCTAAAAAAATAAAATTTTCGCCAAAACCGGTTTGGCTCAGTGGATAGAGCGTTAGCCTGCGGACTGAAAGGTCCCAGGTTCAATTCCGGTCAAGGGCATGTACCTGGGTTGCTGGCACATCCCCAGTGGGGGATGTGCAGGAGGCAGCTGATCGATGTTTCTAACTCTCTATCTCTCTCCCTTCCTCTCTGTAAAAAATCAATAAAATATATTTTAAAATAAAAAAATTTTCTTACATGATGACTTTTACATCTAACAAAATAATTCCTTAATATCATCCAATACTCTATGCACATTTTCTGGTTTTCACTCCAAATGTCCTTTTACACTTAGTTTGAATCAGAATTCAAACAAGGTCTACATCTTGATTGTTATACTTCCTAAGACATATTAAACATTTATATTCCCCTCTCCCCAGTTTTTCCCCACCATTAATTTGTTGAAGACTGATTCTCCATATTTTGGGTTTTTTCTGATAGAATTTTGCAATCTGAGGTATGGATGTGCTTCAAGGGACCATGTAGCTTCTGAAGTGAGATGAAAAAGAATTATGATAAATTCCCTTAACCCCCTCTGGGAAAAAATCTGCAGCTTTCATGAGGTTCTTGAGGAAGTCTTTGACACAAATATGTTAAATCACCACTTAAGGAGAGCACAAAGACATCTATCTGGGCTTTAGCTCAGACACTGCCAGTAGATGAATGACCTTCAACCAGTACCTTCTCCAAACTGGGCTCTAGATTTCTAAATTTTGAAAGGATGGTTATACTTCAGACCTCTCCAGGATATGAGAAATCGTTTCCAGCCCCTCACCTTCTTCCAGAATGTGGGCTCTGAGTAATATATGAGACTTTCCCTACTGTACCAACTGCTTTGAATCAGGAAATAGGTAATAGGGAGTTGACTTTGGGTAAGACCTCAAGGGAGAAGGATCTTACAGTTCCTAGGAGACTATTACATGCACCAACTAAGGTGAGTGAATAAAGACACTAGATTGAGATTGGGAAATGACTCTGACAACACAGAGAAACTCCTAGGTGGTTTGGATCTGAGAACTGAGCCTGAGAACTCAAATGTTTAGAACAGGGAGACATAAAGGAGATTGTAATGATGCAGCTACAAGCCAAGGAACACTAAAGATTGCCAGCAACGACTAGAAGCTAGTGGAGAAGCATGGGAAGATTCTCTCTCAGAGCCTCCAAAAGAACCAACCCATGCTAACACCATGATTTTGGACTTTTGGCATTCTGAACTGGGAACGAATAAATTTCTGTTGTTTTAAGCCCCCCAGTTTGTGATAGTTTGTTATGATAGCTCCAGAAGGCACTAAGTGTGCTCGTTGCTACTGGACTGACTTTGCTCTGTGGCCCTTTCCGCAGTCACAACTAGGAAAAATATATTCACACACATACATATATGTGTATACACATAAACACACTTATATGCATACATATACATATTTTAGAGATCATGTGTTCATACCAGAATCTCTAATTTCAATCTATCCCCATAGGGGTCATTGTTGCCTGCCCCGATTTCATATTTGTATGTCCTTTCTTCCATAGTGAGTACCCTGTCTCCCAGTACCATAAACACATTTTCTTTACTCAAGTCTATGATACATTTAAAATAGTTTCAGAATCACTTTGCCCATACCACTATAACATACAAATTTATTAAAAAGAGCTCAGTATTTGTTTGCAATCCCCCCCCATATACACCTCCAACCCTACCCAAGATTGAGCATATTTGTCAAATACTGTGCACATAAGGTACTTGGATTAGTTCATCCTTCCATTCTTTAGGGTTATGTTATTCATTTGAAATACAATTAGTTTCATTTCTGTCACTTTCCTTTCAGTTATAAAATTCCCTGCTTGCAATTCTTAATTTATTTTTGCTCAAATATGTATAATGTTATCATGCTTTCAAAAGTCAACAGTACACAAAAAGTATACTCAAATATCATTCCCTCCCATGATAGATGTTCCATCTATCCCATTTTGCTCAACATACTCTTATAGGTAGTCAGCTTCAATGTTTTCTGGTTTGTTTTTCCTGTTACTTTCTGTATCAGGAAAAGAAAGCATAATAGGGGAGGATTCTAGAAAGATAGCAGAGCAGAAGCACCAGGAATCTGTTTCCCTACCTCGACAATTGTCTGATGTAACTATATTGGAACTCTGGAGTCTATAGAAAGCTTGCAACCTCCAGAGGAAGACTTGGATGGTAAACTGTAGTTAATTTTGATCAATTTCAGCTCTTAGCACAGTAGCAGCTACCCATCCCCCATTCCCAATCCAGGAGTAGGTAGCTGTGTATATGTTCCCAGAGCAGCTTATACACAGTTTGTAGGAGCCAGGATAGGTATAAAGGACTATGTCTTCCAAATATTAGATATCTGTGCTCTCATTGCCAACTATTGTGTCTGATCACAGGTGTAGATGAAGAGATGGACAACCATTAAACAATATATCTCCTCCATAGTTGCAAGCCCGTTCCCCTCTGGTTGAAATTTCTTCCAGGGGCTTTAAAAGGCTTATGCCCTTTGTTTCCCGCCACCACCCTGTTTTGGGGACGAGGTGCTAAACAGTAGCTCTTTAAAAAATAACTGCATACTAGTATACAGGAAAAATTAGAAAGTGACCATGCATGCCAGGGACAGGCTCATGAAAGACCTGAGAAGACTAAGTTTACACATCAGGCTGACCCTTGACATAGAGACAGCCTATGAAAATTAAACAAACAAACAAATAAAACACTAAAACAATAACACAGCAAACCAGGGCGGAAAGAGAGTCTCATTTCCAGTGTTAACAAATTACTAGGTTCAGCCCTAACCCATTTGGCTCAATGGATAGAGCGTCGGCCTGCGGACTGAAGGGTCCCAGGTTCAATTCTGGTCAAGGGCATGTACCTTGGTTGTGGGCACATCCCCAGTAGGGGGTGTGCAGGAGGCAACTGATTGATGTTTCTCTCTCTCATCGATGTTTCTAACTCTCTATCCCTCTCCCTTCTTCTCTGTAAAGAATCAATAAAAAAATTACCAGGTTCAAATGTCCAATGTTTAAAAAAAAACAACCCACAAACAACACAACAAAACCCAAGGCATATGAAGAAACAGGAAAGAATCAACTACTCTAAGGGGAAAAAATCAAATCAACAGAAACTATCTATGAAAAGACCTAATTGCAGATATAATAGAAAAAGACTTTAAGATAACTGTCTTAAGCTCAAAGAACTAAATAGATGTAGTGAAAGTAAAAAAAAAAAAAAAGTATGAACATAATGGAAATGTCAATACAGAGAAAACCTAAGAAAAAATGCTGAAAAGTACAATAACTTCAATAAAAAATTCACTAGAGGAATTTAAATGCAGATTTGAGCAGCCAAAGAGTCAGTAAACATGAAGATAGGACAATGGAAGTTATCAAGTCAGAGAAACAGAAATAAAAATGACTGAAGTGAGTTTGGCTAGAGTGGCTCAGTGATTGAGTGTCAACCTATGAACCAGTTTGACTCCTGGTCAGGGCATATGCCCAGGTTTTGGCCTCAATCCCCAGTGTGGGGCATAGAGGAGGCAACCAATCAATGATTCTCTCACATCATAGATATTTCTATCTCTCTACACCTCTCCCTTCCAGTCTGAAATCAATAAAAATATCTCTAATAAGTGAACAGAACCTAAGGGACACCAATAAGCAGACCTACATATGCATTGTGGGAGTGCCAGAAGGAGAAGAGAGAGAGAGAGAGAGAGAGAGAGAGAGAGAGAGAGAGAGACTCAAAAAAAAAGAGATGATGAAGAAAAGAAAGAAAAAAGAAGAGAACATGTGAAAAAGTAATGACTAAAAACTTCCTAAATTTGAGAAGTGATATGAATATAAACATCCAAGAAGTTCAACTAACTTCAAGTAAGATGAACTAAAAAAGACTGAAACCAAGACACATTATAATAAAACTTTCAAAAAAGACAAAATTAAAAGCAACAATAAGATGTGAACAATCATAAGGGTGATAATTTGCCGCAACAAGAATCTTATCAGTTGAGAAAAATGGTGGAGGCTTAGACGGACGTGTTGGTGCTTTATCCCGGAGCAGATAGGGGCGAGCAGCTGAAATGGGTAACAATCAGCCCGATCAAGCTGGGGAGGCTCAGCTGAGAGGCAGTCTGCAGCCAGGAAAGACAGAGAACTCCTAAAAAATGCGTATGGTTAGAGATTGAGGCTGAAACCTCCCCCTGGGTGCCAGCGCAGCAGCGAGACCGCGCCATCTTGGGTTGCGGCTACCGGTTACCGGCATCCAGAGAACGGCTACTAAACCAGTGCCTACCAACCAGGAGGCAACGATTCGCAAGCAGCGCGACTACAAGAGCCCAGCGGAGACCTGCACCCCTCCACGGAAAGGTTAGACTTACCCCAAAGGTGCGGTTTGCAGTTCAGGTTGGAGCGAGGAACGCGCGCGCGGGCGCAGGGGGAAATCTGCCCACTCCAAAATCCGCGCACATAGAAGCCAGGGTAATCCGCAAGTGGGGAGGGCTCCCGCAGGGCTGCTGCCAGAAGGTATCACTATAAATGAGCCCATAATTGGACTGGATGCAAAAAGGGCTACCTCAGAGTTTCCCTGATAACCGGCTACTTGTTGCCAGGGGCTTGAGCGCGCGCAGACATAACGCGCAGACATTTCGCGCAGTTCTGGAGGGTGGAACCCTGCGAGTTCGAACAGCTTCCCAGGCTCTTGTTTCCACACTTCCTCTTACTTCTGGGAGTTTGATTGTTGACCCCATTGGATGTGATTGCCCAGTTGGGGTCACTAGCAGAGCTTGTAGGGGAAGATTGTTTTTGGGGAGCCGGGGAAACAGAGCTGGGAGTGGCGCCTGGGGAACCAGCCCTGGGCGGAGCTGGTTCAGGTACAATACAGAGCTCCTGGTTGGAGAGAACTTTTAGCCTCGGAGGTCAATCCAGAAACACTGCCACCCAGAGGCAGAGCCACGAACTGACTCTTCTGTAAATACAGATAAGGCAATAAGGGGATTTTACGGCCGGCCTTAAAATCAGGACTGTGGCTTACAACACGGAGGAGCAGTGTACCAGAGGGAAACTCAACATTCTCCTGAATTCCGGGCGGGCCAATAAGAAGAGTAGAAGATCTGAAGCACCTGCATTACTGCACATTTTTATTTTTATTTTTTTAAATTACTTTTTCTCCTTTTAACTAAGAAAACATTTTTTTTCTGTTTTTCTTTTTTCTTTTTCTCCATCACCTGATTTTGCCCTTTCAGCTATTACATTTTTATTTTTAACTAGTATTTTTACCGCTACCATTTTACCATTCTTTTAAGTGTCATTTTATTTTGTCTTTATTTTATTTTGGGACTAATGTTCTCCATTCTATTTTCATCGTTCCTTTAGCAACATTGTTCTCTACCTCAATTTGCCTCTGTGCTAAACAATCTTCCCCACTTTTTCCCTTTTGCTGTCCTGTTTCTCTTACCCTACTCCAGCTTTTGATTTTCCCTATTCTTTTTACCCCCTGTCAAATTTAACCCTGCTTATATATCCTACGTCCTATCCCCTGTTCTAAATCCTTATACACCTTTCCCTTATCTTCCTTCACTATCCAATTTTTTTTTCCTCTTCTTCTTCTTCTTTTCTCTCTCTATTGTGTTATTGTTGTTTGCTTGATTGACGAATATATTGGGTTTTTTTTTTAATTGTTTGTGAGGTTAGACTGCTTATTCTTTTTATTTTCCTGCCCCTCACTCTCCCCCCCACTCCCCTGGTTATTTCTGTGTTTCTGTTTCCCCTTGCGTCGCTTGATATTATTGGTTGTTTGTAGTTTGTATTCATCTCCAGGAATCTGTTGCTGTAATTTCTTGGTATTAGTGGCGGACCTATAGGAGTTTTCTCCTCATATAAATAGTCTCTTCCCCTTTTATACTTCATTCTCTTTTCTCTCTTACTTTTTTTTCCCTCCTCTTTTTCCCCTCCCTTTTCCCAATTTCATTTTTGCACTCCTTTTTTTTCCTTCTTTCTTTTTTCTCTTCTACCTTTTTCTCTTCTTTCCCCCTTATCTCTCAACTCTCTTAGCTCGGGAGGCCACCTTTATTTGGGGTTAGTAATATCGTAAATACAATAGTGTTTAGTGCCTGGTACGTTGTGCCTTGTTGTGTTGTATTTTGTGCCTTTAAATCAAAGCAGCAGATTCAAGCAACAGCGGCCTCCTGATCACCATACGCTCTGCCTGGGGAACAGTTGCTGTGTGTGAAGCCTCCCTCCACCAGCCAGAAGAGCCACCACAGCTGTGAACAGCACCCACCATAGGCTCTGCTATCAACAGAGGAGCCGCTGCTACCACAACCGCCCAAGGAGCAACCACAGCCCGAGGAGCCACTGCCACCCAGGGAGCAGCCACTGCCTCCCAGGGTCCAGCCACTGAACGATTCAACAACTAGTCATGTCAGTGAGATCAAACATGGGTAGACAAAGAAACCCCCAAAGGAAAGAAAAGGAGGACTCACCAGAAAAGCAGCTAAGTGAGACAGAGATATGCAACATGACGGAAAAAGAATTCAGAATAAGGTTCCTAGAGTACATGCACCGGATGTTCAAGAAGCAAGAAGAAACAGATGAAAAACTCAACTACTTATGCAAGAAGCTAGAAGAAACAGATGAAAAAATCAACAACTTAAGTAAGTCCCAAGAAGAAATGAAGAGCGACATAGCCTCAATAAAAAACTCCATTGAAAGTATCAACAGTAGACTGGGAGAAGCGGAGGACCGAATTAGTGAATTAGAAGACAAAGAAGCAAAACACACTCAAACTGTACGGCAAATGGAGAAAAAAATTAAAAGACAGGAGGAGAGCCTAAGGGAGCTTTGGGACAACATGAAACGAAACAACATACGAATAATAGGGGTGCCAGAACAACAGAAAGATGAACATGGATTAGAAAACCTATTCGAAGAAATAATATCAGAAAACTTCCCTGAGGTGGGGAAGAAAAAAGTCACACAAGCCCAGAGAGTCCCAAACAAGGTGAACCCGAAAAGACCCACACCAAGACACATCATAATTACCATGGCAAATGTTCAGGATAAAGAGAGAATCTTACAGGCTGCAAGAGAGAGACAGAAAGTAACATACAAGGGATCTCCCATTAGATTATCAAATGATTTCTCAACAGAAACACATCAGGCCAGAAAAGAATGGACAGAAATCTACAAAGTGATGCAAAGCAAAGGACTGAATCCAAGAATACTCTACCCAGCAAGGCTATCATTCAAAATTGAAGGGGAAATAAGAAGCTTCACAGACAAAAAAGGGCTAAGGGAGTTTATCACCACCAAGCCAGCCATGCAAGAAATGTTAAAGGGACTGGTGTAAAAAGAAGAAACATCAAGCTCAGAAAGAAAACAGCCACACACAAAAAAGAAATGGCTAC